GTGCCACGTGATTTGTACCCAAGATTTTTTATGTAAATAAGGCAACAGTCATGATGTAATTATAACTTAAGCTCGTAAGAGGACTTGTCTGTGGCTGAGTGGGCCGCGTGTCCTGCGGCAGCTGCCTCGCTTCCCCAGGGAGGAAACACCACTACACAATATGCTGGTTATTAGTGGTAATGAATCAGCCCGTTCTCCCGAGCATTCCCAACATCAATAAAACTGACGTATTAACATGCCCTAACCTAACTAACCACAGGACCCACGAACAGAAAACGGCACATTATGTTATTTTCGCGACCCGCTGCCATTTTCTTGAACATTAGTGTTTTTTGGGGGGCTTTCGGTCAAGTATACGTCAAAATGCGCCGTGTTATAAAGCGAAAAGGTTGGATATAACCTCCCACTCCTCCCTCCTTTGCACTCCCTAACCTCTCCCTTTCCCCTCCTACTCCCCATCCCACTCCTCCCTCACCCTACCACCCCTCCCACCCCTCCCTCACCCCCAGAGGTTGACGGGTCCATCCTGACCTTAAAATAACGTCGCTTTCCGCTCGTATGCGCTATGGCCAAAAATCGACGTAATTTGAAATGAAATCGGCTCACGAAAGTGACGTTCTGTCCCGTTTTTTGTTATGAGTTCTCTGGCTTACTCGGTTAGGTTAGGAGAGGAAACTTTCCATTAACGGTTTTCATGACGTTTTGAAACTTTAGGAGAACTTTCTGCCCTCCTAACCTTCCAGAAGACCCTTAACTTGCTGTTTTGGAAAAAAAATTCATAATGTATTTTAAATTATTTTTCATTTTCAAATTACCTCCATTTTCAGCTATACGGACAAAAGGTCAAATTCAGAGGTAATTTGTAAAAGGACAGGGTGCAGAAAATTCTTAAAATCGTGGAAAAACGGCAAAATATTGCCTAAATCTTTGATATTTGGTTTAAATCACAAAAGGAAAAAAAATAAGCTGAACGTCAAATGTATGAACGGATCAAAGTAAATCAAAGAATATAACATTAAGAATTACTGACAGACGTGTAATTCATCCCCCCCCCCCCACACACACAACTCCGGTTACAACAGATTCATTCATGTGGAAGTGACATGGAAGAGGCACTTGATGGCGTCTGGTTATATGGGACAAGAGGTTGTCTGTAGACGTCCGGCGAGGCGGCCGGAGGACGGGTTACCACTCGACGTCCTCGCTACTCTCTAAGTAAACCTCACCCAACCCAACCCAACGCGCCATATCCTATTTCAAATAAGAACTAAGAGTTGGTGTTTTATATATAATATGCACAAGGTGTGACGTCACTATGACGTAATGTTTGATTCCGGGTGGGGTTTTAGAGTGTGGCGGGGCGCCTCTCGCCCGCCTGCACCCACCACCCGCATACTTAACCCTTCAAACAATGGGCCTTCTGCAGTTCTTATTACTACTATCCCCCTCTACTACACCTTACCCTTCCTACCTTTTGCCTTGCTCTTCACTTCTCTCTTGCCTATTTATTGCCTGCATCAACTTCCTCATCACACGGGAGACATTTCCCGTCACGCAGGGTGCAGTCGCACCTCCACAGATCTCCCGTATCATCTACTGATACTGGAAATGGCTCAAAAGGGCCACCACTTATGGGCTATTCATGCCCAAGCCATCTTTTGGGTGGCTTAATCTTTATCAATCACCAACATTCCTCATCACAATCGACTTGAAAATGGTCCAGGACGGACCGAAACATCGCCGTCCCTTCACCTTCTAGTGTGTGGTCTGGTCAACACCCTTCAAACAATTTATGAATTCAACAATTTCTGTTCAAATTCATTTCCTCCCTCGTCAGGGACAGGACGCCTGTTAGTATGTCGATCTTCCCACCTCCCCAAGGCCTTGGATATCGACTTCGTCAGGAGGCAACCTCCCAACAGTTGTCTAACTCCCGGCTACCTATTTACTAGTTACAGAAGCATGAGGTATGAAAAAAAATTGCCTACATGTGTCCCACCTGCCCGGGAACCGAACCCAGGACCAATAGAATGTGAGGCGACTGCGCTAACCAATACACTACACATCAGTATGAAGTTTTTTTTAGTTAGTGTCACGTGACACTGACGTACACAGGCTTCTGCTGCCCCCCCCCTCCACCCCCCCCCCCCCCCCGCCTCCGTCAACACTGCAGTACCAGCGCTGTTAGCTTAACCACAAGAGACAGGCGTACAGCGAGTGGGTGTATATAGCCCCATGAACAGCTGTAAGTGTCGTCTGCAGCTGGAGACGGGTAAACACCCGCCATTTGTCTCAATGTTTGTCACCAGACCAGCTGCACCGACTCCCCCCCCTCTCCCGCACCCCTCACACACCTCCACCCCCAACACACCCACACACACACTCTATCTACTCTTACCTAGCTAAAAAAGAAAACACGCACGCTCTTCTCTTGCCTCGCTCGCACACACACACACACACACACACGTCACGGCGCTGCTTGGGGCCTCGCGGCTGAGTGAATAGCGCCTGGGGATCGTAGTCCTAATGACCCGGGGTTCGATTTCCGGCGGAGACGGAAACAAATGGGAAGTTTCTTTCACCCTAATGTTCTCTTAGCAGTAAATAGGAAGATGGGAGTTGGACAGCTGCTACTTCCTAGGGATGTGTGTGTGTACTCACCTAGTTATACTTACCTAGTTGTACTTGCGGGGTTGAGCTTTGGCTCTTTGGTCCCGCCTCTCAACCGTCAATCAACTGATGTACAGATTCTAGAGCCTACTGGGCTCTATCATATCTACATTTGAAACTGTGTATGTGTGTAACCAGGAACCTGTACACCAGTTGATTGACAGTTGAGAGGCAGGACCAAAGAGCCGAAGCTCAACCCCCGCAAGCACAACTAGGTGAGTACTACTCTGGCAGCCTCGCTGGACATTTATAGGGATGAGGTATGAAGAAAGACTGAAGGCACTAAACCTGACGTCGCTAGAGAGTGGTGGGAGACATGATAAAGACGTAGGGGTAATTCACAGATACTTAGAGGGGTTGACAGGGTGGGAAAAGAGGAAATGTTCACAATGAATACCAATAGAAAAATAACGCAGGGATGGAAGCTTAACTTTAAAAGTGGGTTTGATAGAGAAATATGTCAGGAGTCATTGGAGGCAATCGGCGGCTAGAAAGGCAGAGTCCAAGAGCTAGAGCTCGATCCTGCAAGCACACACACACACATGGATACTGGAGTTCAACACGAGTAAATGTAAAGTTATAGAAATGGGATCAAGTGATAGGCGACCAAAGGGACAGTACACAATTAAGGGGAACAGCCTATCTGTGACGACGCGAGAAAGAGACCTGAGAGTGAACGTAACACCTAATCTAACTCCTGAGGCGCAAATAAATAGGATAACGACAGCAGCGTACTCCACACTGGCGAAAGTGAGAACTTCATTCAGAAACCTAAATGAGAAGGCTTTTAGGGCACTGTACACTGCCTACATGAGACCAATCTTAGAGTATGCCGTATCATCATGGAGTCCCCACCTGAAAAAACACATAAGGAAACTGGAAAAGGTTCAGAAGTTTGCGACGAGACTTATCCCAGAGTTACGAGGGATGGGATATGAAGAGCGCCTGAAAAAACTGAACTTTACGACACTAGAAAAAAGAAGGGAGAGAGGGGATATGATAGGAACATAAAATACTCAGGGGAATTGACAAAGTGGTTGATAGATGATAGATTCAAATTGATAGATGAAATGTTCTCACGCAATAGTAACAGAACGAGGGGACATGGGTGGAAGCTGGAAACTCAGATGAGTCACAGAAATGTTAGGAAGTATTCTTTTAGCGTGAGAGTAGTGGAAAAATGGAATGCACTTAAGGAACAGGTTGTGGAAGCAAACTCTATTCATAATTTTAAGACTAGATATGATAGGGAAATGGGACAGGAGTCATTGCTGTAAACAGCCGATGGCTAGAAAGGCGGGATCCAAGAGTCAATGCTCGATCCTGCAAGCACAAACAGGTGAGTACACACACACACACACTCGATGTAAGACCAGTCCAAAGTACCATACCTTGTCAAGCACAAGACGAAGCTGGAAAGAGTTCAGAGTATGCCACTAGGCTAGTTCCAGGACAAAGAGGCATGAGTTATGAGGAAAGGCTGCGTAAACTGCACCTGACGTCGCTGGAAGACAAGAGCTCGGGGAGACATGATCATCAAATACAAAATTCTTAGGGGAATTGACAGGGTTGACGAGGATTGATTATTTAACAAGGGTGGTAGAAGCACAAGGAAATACAGGTGGAAGCTGAGTACCCAAATGAGCCACAGAGACATTATAAAGAACTTTTTCAGTGTCAGTAGTTAGTAAATGGAACGAATTAGGAAGTAATGTGGTGGAGGCTGACTCCATACACAGTTTGAAATGTAGATATGATGGAGCTCGAGAAGCTCAGGAATCAGTATACCAGTAGATTGACGGTTGAGAGGCGGGACCAAAGAGCCGAAGCTCAACTCCCGTAAGCACAACTCGGTGAGTACACACACACGCTCTACCTATCCATCATGCTCACCTCTCACGCCCAATAATTTCTTTTGAGTAGTTTTTCTAAAAGTGAGAACTTAATTCATATTTTCAGGCGAGAACAAGAGTAACCGCCCAGCTAATAATTGTGCCAACACAAACACAACACACGTCTTAACAAGGGTAAAATGGTGCAGTGATGCACATGACTATAACAATAACCCCTTACGCTACAACCTCCCGCCCACCCTGCACTCATCCCCAACACACACTCAAGGAACAATGTTTGGAATCGAAATTATCAGGTTAAGGCGCCAAACCATCACGACTATATAACACTTGGAAGGGATCAGGACAAAGGATTTGGGATGGAACGGGGGGAAGGAATGGTGCCCAACTACTTGGACGGTCGGGGATAGAACGCCGACCTGCATGAAGCCAGACCGTCGCTCTGCCGTCCAGCCCAAGTGTTTGGGCATACTCAAGGAAGAAAGAATCTTACTTTCAGTTTATCGATCTCGTCCTCGAGCTGAGAGTCGACGGAGATCATCTTCTTCAAGGCCTCCTCGACGAAACCCATCCTGCCGTAGAGCTGCGAGTGGTCCTTCTTCTGCATGAGGGCATCGAAGATCCTCCAGAGGGCTCGGGTGATCATGCGGTGTCCGTCATGCACCTGGAGCTCTGTGGGCGCTACACCGTACCTCCTGACATCGTTCCTGGCCGAGCTGCCGTACCTCTTTCCTCCGCCGTTGGGGATCCGCTCGCTCAGTACATCGTTGTCCTCCAGCGGCCTCGATGGGTTCTTCTGCGCGAGCGCCACATCTACCACCAGGATAAGGGTGAGAGTACAGGTGTAGAGAGTGGCGGGGGTGAGGCGCATCGTGCTGGGTCCTCCTGGTGGGCGCTACTGAGATACACTGGATATTTATCCCCGGGCAAGCTGGGCTTCGGGCCACAATCTTATTGTTATATTTCTGATCTGAAAATGGACAAAATATTTGCATTAAATTCCTTCAGTTCAAATCTTGGTACATTCAGGCATATACGCGTTAGCTTCAAATACTCATATTTATGTTTAATTTGTTAATAATGCGATTTCATATTTCCTTAAATATATACACTGGATTAGTATCACAAATTATAAATATTGGTTCGTCACATTCACTCAACCACTTACTTCAAATTCAAAATTCAAATGTTTATTCAGGTAGAGTACATACATACAAGGTGTGATACAAACATTGAAGGGTTTATAGATAGAGCTAGTACATACAATGCCTAAAGCCACTATTACGCAAAGCGTTCCGGGCAGGGGGGGACTTATCTTTCATCTATTCTTCACAACAACCCGTCACCCATCTTTAGCTACCTATCCGTCCAGAAAGCTTAGAAAGCTCAGGTGCTTTCACTCCATGACTCACTGCTGGCACTCTGAGGTCATTCCCCGCGGCGGGCGCGAGCGAGCTCTCCGCGCAGTCGCGGACCACCACCGCCTTGCGTCAACCAGTCTGGGAGATGCGACTCTTGTGATTGAAGTGTTTTCAGATGGTTGATACTCGGTTGGGGGAGAAGTGAGAGAGCGTGGTGCCTCTTGAGGGGGATCTTCTCCATCCTCGTGCTGTCTTACTCACTGCCAGCGAAGGGGCCACCTTGGTATTTAGGTTTATGACCTGTTTTCGCTAGTTCACTTACAATTTATGACGAGGTTTAAGCGTCAGATGATATCAGCGCGCGCGAGAAGATGGCGCTCTGGCTGTTTACGAGTCAATGAATAAAAGAGCCGCCAATCATCTCTTTAGTTAGGCAAAACTATTACAATTACTAAACGGTCTGCATGTGACAAATCATGACGCGGGCTTTAAATAGGTCCCGTCCAGGACCACCGTGAATCATTCTGGGACCCCATGAGACAGGTCCCAGGACCCCATGAACCATCCCGGGGTCCTGAGGTAGGTCCCAGGACCCCCAGAAACCACCCCGGGCCCCTGAGATAGGTCAAGAATCTTGACATACCAGAGATCAATTACTAAAATCTATTATATAATCATTGTTATTGATTAGCATAATTGTTATTTTAAATATAACTTGTGTTCGTGGTGTTATCCAATCAGCGCATCGGGATAAGTTTAAGTTTAACGTAATAACCAAAAATGTGCGTTTCTGTACACTTATATTATTCTATATGTAAAATATAGCAATTTAGGGGAGGGAGGGGGGAGGGGGGGGCGTGGAATGGAGGAGAGGGGGGGGGGGCGTGGAATGGGGGGGGAGGAGGGGGGTGATGTATTAAGGGATGGCCAAGCGAGCTGTGGTGACACATGCTGCCACAGCTGGCTCCACCACCCACTGTGTTACAATGCTGCCACAGCTGGCTCCACCACCCGCTGTGTTACAATGCTGCCACAGCTGGCTCCACCACCCGCTGTGTTACAATGCTGCCACAGCTGGCTCCACCACCCGCTGTGTTACAATGCTGCCACAGCTGGCTCCACCACCCGCTGTGTTACAATGCTGCCACAGCTGGCTCCACCACCCGCTGTGTTACAATGCTGCCACAGCTGGCTCCACCACCCACTGTGTTACAATGCTGCCACAGCTGGCTCCACCACCCGCTGTGTTACAATGCTGCCACAGCTGGCTCCACCACCCGCTGTGTTACAATGCTGCCACAGCTGGCTCCACCACCCGCTGTGTTACAATGCTGCCACAGCTGGCTCCACCACCCGCTGTGTTACAATGCTGCCACAGCTGGCTCCACCACCCGCTGTGTTACAATGCTGCCACAGCTGGCTCCACCACCCGCTGTGTTACAATGCTGCCACAGCTGGCTCCACCACCCACTGTGTTACAATGCTGCCACAGCTGGCTCCACCACCCGCTGTGTTACAATGCTGCCACAGCTGGCTCCACCACCCGCTGTGTTACAATGCTGCCACAGCTGGCTCCACCAGTGTTACAATGCTGCCACAGCTGGCTCCACCACCCGCTGTGTTACAATGCTGCCACAGCTGGCTCCACCAGTGTTACAATGCTGCCACAGCTGGCTCCACCAGTGTTACAATGCTGCCACAGCTGGCTCCACCAGTGTTACAATGCTGCCACAGCTGGCTCCACCAGTGTTACAATGCTGCCACAGCTGGCTCCACCAGTGTTACAATGCTGCCACAGCTGGCTCCACCAGTGTTACAATGCTGCCACAGCTGGCTCCACCAGTGTTACAATGCTGCCACAGCTGGCTCCACCAGTGTTATAATGCTGCCACAGCTGGCTCCACCAGTGTTACAATGCTGCCACAGCTGGCTCCACCAGTGTTACAATGCTGCCACAGCTGGCTCCACCAGTGTTACAATGCTGCCACAGCTGGCTCCACCAGTGTTACAATGCTGCCACAGCTGGCTCCACCAGTGTTACAATGCTGCCACAGCTGGCTCCACCAGTGTTACAATGCTGCCACAGCTGGCTCCACCAGTGTTACAATGCTGCCACAGCTGGCTCCACCAGTGTTACAATGCTGCCACAGCTGGCTCCACCAGTGTTACAATGCTGCCACAGCTGGCTCCACCATAAGATGGGTGTTACGTACTATGTAAAAACGCTTCACATAAAGGCCAGGTGCCGTGAAGTGCCACAAGATCAATAATAATGGTCAGTGTGGAGGCCCTCACTGACCCATATGTGTGTGTGTGTGTGTGTGTGTGTGTGTGTGTGTGTGTGTGTGTGTGTGTGTGTGTGTGTGTGTGTGTGTGTGTGTGTGTGTGTGTACCCAACGGCTGCCATTCATGGGGGGGTTGTGTTGTCTATACTTGCAACTTCTCAGTGAGTTTGTTTACCTTTGCAACATTTCTGGGGAAGTTAGTTTCACAGCCTCCTGGCCACCTCCACCACCCTGCCAGGCAGTATCTATTTTGTTTATATCTATTTTGTATCTATTTTACAGTATCTATTATCTATTTTGCAGTATCTATTTTTGTAAACTCGTCCAGTTGAATTCATTGTTTCGTGTTCTCTCGTTGGTTAATATGGCATGTGTGTAATATTTCTCAAAATATGTTATATTTATGGTCCCTGGACGGAGACCCCGAGGAGACCTTGTGCTTACCACCTGATCAACCAGGCTGTGACTCGTATGTCAGGCTGCGAGCAGCCGCGTCCAACAGCCTGGTTGACCAGTCCAGCAACCAGGAGGCCTGGTCGAGTAAAGTTCAAAGTAAATGCCATGACAACCTACCGTGCGTGTAGAGTACTGTACCGTGACAGCCTACCGTGGGTGTAGAGTACTGTACCGTGACAACCTACCGTGCGTGTAGAGTACTGTACCGTGACAACCTACCGTGCGTGTAGAGTACTGTACATGACAGCCTGCCGTGCGTGTAGAGTACTGTACATGACAGCCTACCGTGCGTGTAGAGTACTGTACCGTGACAACCTACCCTCCCCCCCTCTACAGCAGGCATTGTCTGCAAGACAAAGGAGCGGCGCCCCTTTGGACACGTCGAGCGAAGACTAATGAGGAAGAGTGACGTGGCTCTGTAGTACCCGGGTGCTCTTGAGGGTGATGAGGGTGAAGTTGTGAGGGGATGGGAGGTCACCTTGCCTACCACCCTCACCACACACACTCCTCACACTCCCCCCCTCACACTCACACTATACGCCTCCCCCTACTCCTCCTCGGGCGCCACTATCCCCCCCCCCATCCTAGGTGCCCCGGGGGCGCCAGGCCGGCCCCTAAGGGCATCACATATATTGGGCAGCAATTATGGGGACTTAAAAATAGCGGTGAGATGGAGGGAGGGAGGTAGGTAGGGGGGACGGGGCACCTCAACCCGAGTCCTGTAAAGTGTGCTTGTAATGCCTCGTGTGTCATGCTGCCTCACCTCTTACTATACTGTCCTCATGCTGCTTCACCTCTCACTATACTGTCCTCATGCTGCCTCACCTCTCACTATACTGTCCTCATGCTGCCTCACCTCTCACTATACTGTCCTCATGCTGCCTCACCTCTCACTATACCGTCCTCATGCTGCCTCACCTCTCACTATACCGTCCTCATGCTGCCTCACCTCTCACTATACCGTCCTCATGCTGCCTCACCTCTCACTATACCGTCCTCATGTTGCCTCACCTCTCACTATACCGTCCTCATGCTGCCTCACCTCTCACTATACCGTCCTCATGTTGCCTCACCTCTCACTATACCGTCCTCATGCTGCCTCACCTCTCACTATACCATCCTCATGCTGCCTCACCTCTCACTATACCGTCCTCATGCTGCCTCACCTCTCACTATACCATCCTCATGCTGCCTCACCTCTCACTATACCGTCCTCATGCTGCCTCACCTCTCACTATACCGTCCTCATGTTGCCTCACCTCTCACTATACCGTCCTCATGCTGCCTCACCTCTCACTATACCGTCCTCATGTTGCCTCACCTCTCACTATACCGTCCTCATACTGCCTCACCTCTCACTATACCGTCCTCATAACCCCAAGGTAACCCCAAGGTAACCCCAAGGTAACCCCAAGGTAACCCCAAGGTAACCCCAAGGTAACCCCAAGGTAACCCCAAGATAACCCCAAGGTAACCCCAAGGTAACCCCAAGGTAACCCCAAGGTAACCCCAAGGTAACCCCAAGGTAACCCCAAGGTAATCATGTGCTGGCCGGTTACTATGGTTTCCGTGGTCAGGGACTGCAAGTCATTTAGGCTTATCGAGGTCCCCTTTGGTCAACAACGGACCTTCCTCAGGATGCAACCCACAACAGCTGACTAACTCCCGGGTACCTATTTAGTGAACAGACGCATCAGATGAATGGGAACGTGCACAAACGCCCTGCCTGGGAATCGAACTGAGGGTTAAGGAAACAGAGAGAATGAGATGAAGGAAAGGGAACTATCAGGGGGAAAGAGTCAGGCCATTATGACTATATAGCAACTACAGGTCAGTGTCAGATCATGTAAGGTAATGCAAAAGCCATC